CTGTAACATTACATAAAACTTATAAAATATAAGGTTATGTAACCTTATACCTATCAAATTTTCCTGATATTGGCAAAATGCATGTATGAGAATCAAGAAATATGAAAATGTTAATTTTCCTGAAAAAGAAATTACAAGCAATATTTATGTAATGTATACATTAAGAAAAAGTTAAATAGCATAATCAGTTAATCAAAAGTTAATTTAGATTTGTATTCAATAATTTTCTCGTAATAAATTTCTTAAATATTAGATTTTTAATGAACTTTTCTGATATAATAAAAGATTAAGTATATCATAGATGAAGATCAAATTAATATAATCAAATCACTAAATATATAATTTTATTTATAAAATGATTGATAAAATATACAATCCAGTCACAATCACTAGTCCAATCCAGCAAATTACTAGTGAAGAAAAATTCTAAGAAAAAGATCAAGTAAAAATTGATATCCTAACCACTATCTAGACTACCTAACCGAAATCAATACTTGATCCTCTCATAAATCCTTATAAAACAACCACTGCTTCAAAAATGCCTTTTTTGACAAAAGTTTTTAGCTTCTAATGTTCTTTATGATCAGATTGATTAGAAATTTTACAAACGAGCCTTTCTGTCATTATTAGTCTTTTCTTTTTTCTTCTTATGCTTGAACTTGTAATTTAGTAGCTTTTTAAAGTTTATTTCTTTGAGACATGTGAAAAGTTTTTATATGTTCAGTTCTCTTTTGAGAAAAATTTTGAGAAGTATTTGAGAAAGACATTATTAGATTTTTGAATTTTTGAAAAATTTTAAGAAAAAGATTAATTTTGAAAATCTAATTGATACACATAAAAATTAATTTTTAAAAAAATAATCAATCACGTGAGCTCAATCAAATAATCATCCAAAATTGAAATATTTATATAAAATTTTGAATTCCATAATTTTAAAAATTAACAAATTTTAGCCCTATATAATATTAGAAAAATCTATATTTGTAAGATCGATTATGAATAAATCATAAATGGTAGACTTTCCTAGAATAGGTTACGTCTATAAACGCAGAATATCTGCAAATATTTCTTTTGTAAGATTTTTAGGAAAATTAATTTTGAAGACAAAATTATTTCACACTATGACATTCAAAATTTAAGTGAGAGAAAGATTATCAGCGATAAAAATTTACCCTAGAAAAATGATTTACAAAATCATTAGATTTAATTTTATGTAAATCATATTAAGAAAGATCTTGATCGATATACTGCATTAGAAAGTCAAGCTGATTTATTTAATTTGAAAGATTTGCAAAACTCAACTGATTCACCTGATTTATTTGATTGGCTTATTTTATTATATTCTTTACATATTTATTATTTTGTTATAATTATTATTTTTATTATTTCTTTTATTTTTATCATCATTATATTTTATCTTCTATTTTATATTTTTATTTTATTATTTTTTATTATTATTTTATAGTCAAAGTTTATTAAAATAGTTAGTTTATAGTATAGCAATTAATTAGTTGTAGCAAATTAATTTTGTATAAATAGAATAACTTTTTACTTAAGTTGTAAATTAACTTATTTGTAAGTTACTTACGAGTTTAAAGTTATTAATAAAGGAATTAATTTAAATCCATATAAATTTACTTTTCCCTTTAACATTGTCCTTCATCTAGGATTGTTATAATATATTACACTAATTTGCTATTAAGTTCGTCATTATGAGTTTGATTAATATATCTTAAATTCTAAGACGTGATAAATTGTTAAGTTAATTCAAGTATAACAGATACCTGTAGGACTTAAAGAAAATCCTAAAGTCAGAAACTCCAACATGTAGAATTAGCTACCATAGCCTTTTAACTTAGACTTTAAAATAACTAAAAATGAATCTGATGATACTATTACAGGCTAGCCCCTATTGTACTATTAGTTCTACCTATCAAGATAGTTCCAAATAGATCTACTAACTATAATCTCTACCTGTTATCAGAAAGGTTTGAAATGCAGAAACGCTATATATAAATAGCTTTAAGGATCATTATATTCTACAAATTTGTAATCTATTCATATGCATGGTTTGCACGCATCTCATGAAATTCATTTCTGAAATTAAACCAGTAAAATCAGCAGTAAATTAATATTACGATCTGCATTCAGCTGATGCTGAACTGAGGTCTATTGCAGTGTAACTTACAATAGTGATTCATATCTTACGATTTGAGTCAGAATAGCTAATCTATTTCTTTTTTGCTTCTATTAATTAATTCTGAAAAATTTTATTTATTTTGCTTAATTCTGGTAAAATTTATCTATTTCAATTCTATTATATCAATTCAGCCTAAATTAAATGATTGATAATAAAATTTTCTTTTTAAGAGTTTTGTAATACTTCAGGGTAACACTTAAATGAATTTTTACAAGAATGAAAATTTTCTTTTTTAGATTTGTAATGTCATGTGATCATAATTCTGGTCAGCTTTATATATTTTGACTTTTATAATTAATTTTGACTCTTGTAATGTATTTTGATCCTCATAATTAATTTTGACCCTTGTAATCAATTTCAACTTTTCAAATTTTTTAACAAATAGTCAAAATCAATTTTGACCATTTTGATCATCATAATCATTTTGACCATTTTAATTTCAGTTTCATGTATAGTCTATAATTATCTTCAATCAACTTCACTATTTAAATTAATCTTTAATGTACTTTATGTAATAAATCTGATTTTACAATATAATTTGTTAAAATTATACAAATTCTTATAAAATTTGTAAAAATCTTTATCTATAATTAAAATATATTTACAAAATAAAATAATATCATATATAATAAAAAATATTTGTTACTAATCAAATCATAAAATTAGAAAATCTTTCTCTTTCATAAATTTTACCTAGAATTTAATTTAAATCAAAAGAAATTTAAAATTTGTTCATCTTTTTTGAATCTTATTCAAGAAATTTAATGTCAAAATTCTTTTATTAAATCAAATTCATACTAATTATTATATAATGCCTAAAAATAAGTAATACATTAGATCAATTATAATATAATTATAGAGTCAAAATATAGTAAATGTAATAATTCAGACTATCTTATATCATTTTACTTTACAAATCATTTTTGTAAAGCATCTGAATTATAGCATCTCTATTCTAAAGCATCTTAATGATACTTAATTAGATCTTATATAAAGAATTAATTATCAATATTATCTATTCTGTCAAAATTATACTAATGATTTTTATAATTTATTTCTTTTCATGATATAATACTAAAATTAAAATATATTTATATACTTTTTAGGAATTACTATATCACATAAAATAAAAATTAAAACTACACAAATATTCTTTCATTCAAGATATTTTTATATTTTATCTATTGTCAATTTATTTTAAAGAGATTTAATTTATTTACAATCATGCTAAATAATAATTTATTTATATAAACTAATTTCACTTATTTCAGGTAAAAAATCAAAAAATCAGTAAATTTTCATATTTAAATCAGAAATTATGTATCAAACTGCATATAGTAAAATATATTACTCTAATATTATAAATAAAATTACAATATAACTAAAATCAATTAAGATTTAGCATTAATTTAAAATGAGAATCAGCTATTTCATCTCAAAAAAATTTGCTAAATCTTTTTCAGAAGATTTTTTTAAAGTTTTATCACATTTTACTATTATATACAGTATATCAGTCATAATATTATCAAAATGCTGATGATTTATTTATTATATCAAGCTAATTTCAAAATTAGATTAATAATACATAAAAGTGTGTTATTATTGTATTTTAAAAAACAGAAATATTAAATTAAATTGAATTACTATTCAATTTGTTAATACAATTTTTAAGATAATGGAGTATTGCAAAAGCATGGTTTGTAAATTAACAAATTGAAAAATTTTACATATTGATATTTTATTATAATCAGCATATTATCTTATTGAAAATTCACTATTTCTTGATTTTTGATGCAGCTTATAATATTTAAAATAAGAAACAAATAGTGAAATCAATCATTTAATCCAAATGTTTTTTCATCAAGTATATTAAATTTGAAAATTTTTTAAATTCATCACCTCTGATTTCTGTCAAAACCAATTTCATAAAGTTTATCAAAGCTTCATTTGTAAACTCTGGATATATTCACAGATTAAATTGGATTGAATTGGATTAGATTAGATTTTTATATAATCCAATATGTGTTTATAAATAAATGAATCAGATTATGGATTTTTGTATAACATTAAAAAAAGAGTTAATGTTATTTAGATTAGATAAAAATTTAAACAATAAATATCCAAAGACATAACTTTTTCACTAATTTTTTGAATCAAATTAACTTATCTTCTGAAGAAATATTTGATGATAACATTAATTATCAATCTTTCATGAATGTGTATAAATGTTATTGAAAGAAACAGTTCTTTAAGAAAAGGTTTCAGGCAAGTAAGAAGGACAAGTAGTATTTGTTGGTTTAATCACATATGTAATAATTGGAAAAATGTAGAATTTAAGCGGCATTTTAGAATAACAAAAACTATATTTGAATAATTATATACTGAAATAGCACCTTTACTATTACAAAAAAAATAATTAAAGAGGCGTCCCAAGAATTCCAATTAAAATTAACTTTGTGTTTTTTAGCTACCGGTTAAAGTTATTGAACACTTGGACAATTATTTGCATTAGGAAATCAACTATATGTTATATTATTAGATCAGTTCTATATGCAATTAAATGTCACTTTCTTTCATCAATAATTCAGTAAGAAAATTGTTAATTAAATTCATTGTTCTGATAAATAAAATGTTTTAACATTCTTTTGAATTAATAGGTTTCCTAATAATCATGTCGAATTCAAACGATTAAAAAAAATTGAATTTATTAAAAAATTATTTGCAATTTTGATTGGTCAATATAATGAATGTGACGCAACGCGATTTCCTAAATTTCTGCTGCAACACTTTACTGGCAAGGATGGCAACCTCACTCTTTTCATTTTCCACTTTCTCACCTCTTTCTTCGGTTCATATCAAATGTTAACGGGATTACTCAAATAATAAAGAGATTACCATCGAAACCTTTAAAAATATTTTCAACAGGGTCATTTGATGTTTTGAGGCAGGAAGGTTGTTATTATTTAGATAAGACTCACTTCATTCCTAAAATAGAGGCTCTCCGTGTTCCTGCCATACTTTCCCTTCGTTCTTGTCATTTCGGAAAGACACTATTCCTTTCTACTTTGTCCTCTTACTATGACGTAAAGAACAGAAAACGATTTAAACAATTATTCCAAGGACTATATATCGGAAAAAATCCTACACCATTAGCGTCTGAGTTCCTCGTTCTCGAACTCAATTTTGCTGGACTTCGCACTAACGAAACGTACGAAATCTTTACAGTAGACTTTCACGAAAGTTTGAATGTAACTATATCAAGGTTTATGTACCGATATAAATAAGAATTAAGGGATCATTTCCAAGTTGTTGACGAAAATAGAAATGCTTTTGTGAATTTCCGGAAATTATTGAACGCGGTGATATTAAGTAATAACAAGGTATTTTAGACATAATTTATTCAAAAAGTACTAAGCTAATATTCTTATGTATTTTTAGCTCTATGTTTGCATCGATGAATACGATGGTAGTATGAACGAAGCCCTTAAAAACCAAACACCCCTCCAAGCTCTCACCAATCATCACAAAAACGAAGGTGACTTCAAAATCGAATTAATGGAAAGTTCGTTTAAACAATTATTCAGTATATTGAAGACTGCTTGTGATGGAGGCATAGCTCGTGTTTTCTTAACTGGTGTGACTCCTGTCGCTATGGCTGAATTCATCTCGGGTTTTAACATTTCGGTAGATTTGACGCTAAACGAAGAATTTTAGGACTTACAGTGGCGGTCAAAAGTATTGCATCACCCGAACACAAATTTTAAAATTGCAATTTTTTGACAATTAAGGCGGTGCAGTGTACAAAACTTTATTTTTAGACTTATTATAACGAATCAATTTAGTGGTATAAATTTCGTTACGCAGTGATGG